TATGACCATCAAAACGATCTTCTGCCACCCTACCCCCTAACCTGTGCTTGTCATTCTCTGACCCTAGAAGCCAGTGGGATTCTGAAGGTCTTGTTTCTTCTATAAGTACTTTGACCCCTTCCTATTATGAAAATCCTATTTACCTTTCTCTGGTTCTCTTGACTTCTGTATTTCCTACCCGGCTCCTCTCAATGGGACATTGAGGTGGCCTAGGGGATAGAGAACTGGATCTAACTGTCCAGAAGATCTGAGTTCAAATTTGGCCTCTGACACTTATATCTGTGTATCCTGGGGAAGTCACTTCATATCCTTCTGTCTCATTTTGCAAAATGGGGATCATTAACAGCATCTTCCTCCCAGGGTTGTTGCAAGATTAAGCATTTAGCACAGTGCCTGGATATATTAAACACTTAGTAAATGCTTCCTTCCCTTCCCTTTTCAAAGCCCTGGTCAGAGTGCTGAGAACTTTCATTGTCTCTGGTCTGAGGGTTTCTGGCTCTTAGGTTCAGTGTGGTCAGAGTGCTGCTGCTGCTGCTGCTGCTGCTGCTTACTCCCCTGGAACATCCTCTTCCTAGCATTTCTGGATTATACTAGCAGGTTTCTGGCTTACCTTCCCTCTTGCTAGCTTTTTTGTCAAACCCCTATCCCAATGCCTGCAAACTTCTGGTTGTCTTTTTGTGCAGTCTTAGGCTGGAATGAAGCTGCTTGCTGTACTTTCTCTTTGGATTTCTTTATCATTATTTAGCCTTGGGCCCTTTGCAGATCTTTGCTGTACCACTTGAGAGCTATAACCAGTCATGAAAGCAATCATCTTAATCAGAGATTCCCTCTATGTCAGTCTTTTCCTGTTTAAGTGTAATGTCCCTTTAATTAGATTTAGCAGTTTGATCTAGGAGACATTGAGATTCCTGAACTTTTTATTTTTAATATTAGGGGAGGAGGTTTAAATTTTTGTTTTAATTTTTTTAAATATTTAATACAGTAATTCCATGTAATTAGTTTCCTTAGTGATATTCATTTAAAAACATGATTCTGAGTAGGAGTCCATAGAATTCACCAGACTGACAAAAGGAGGTCTATGAACCCTTGGTGTAGTGGGAAGAGTGCTTGACTTAGAATCAGGAAGACCTGGGTTCAAGTTCCTCCTCTCATACTTAGTAGCTTTGTGTCCAAAGGTGAGTCACCCACTTTGCCTTCTCAACTTTCCCATGCAATCCCTACTTTCCAGAGTTGTGGTGAAGCTCAAAGCTCCAATGAGAAAATTTAGGTTAAAGTGTTTCCACAAACATAAAGTACCATATAAATGTTTTGTTAATATCATTATTGCTACTGCTACCACCACCAATACCTTCTACTGCACCTATCCACCACTTTTGGATAGATAAGTCTTAATTGAGCAAACGTCATAATATTTTCTTTAAAAAACAAACAAACACTTAGCACAGTGCCTGGCATATAGTAGATGCTACATAAATGCTTATTCCATTTCCCCTGAGAAGTTTTTCCTTACATAGAACCTAACTCTGTTCTTCTGAAACTTCTAACCATAATTCCTTATTTAGTCCTGCAGGGTCAAACAGAGCTGCAAGTTCTAATTCCTTTTTCATTGAAAGCTCTTCAGGTCCTTTAAGACAATCCCCACCAAGTGAGTCTGTCAGTACTGAGGCCTCTGTGCTAGGAACAAAAGTTTTTGCTGGGAAATCACTGATCTAGTTGGGGAGCATGTGAGAACCATGTTTCTGGGACACACAGTTATTATATCATGTGCTTTCCAAGCAAACAGCCTGGGTCCTTGTCCAAGGATGTGATAAAACCATATGCAATTTGTCATAGAGTCTAAGGGTGTCTCCCTGGAGCCTCCTTTACTGCTTAACACAGACCACTCATAAAATAATTTCATCATAAGACTGATTAAAACGGGGGAGGGCATGAATGTTAATCTTGTGACCGGCTGTATTCTGCTCTCATTCATTCTTTTCTGGTAGGTGTATATGGACAAAGATACCTGCTAGGTGTTATACCAGCCCTGGCAACCATAGTAATTTGATTAGATTAAACTAAACTTATACCATAATGCGGTATCAGGCAAAGCTATAAATTAGGACATTTCTTTTTAAAATTTAGGTTTTTTATTGGTTTCTCTTGGTTTTACATTACTTTCATTTCCGAATATGGCTCTGTTGTCTTCCATATCTAGCAAACCATTCTTTGTATTAAGGAATTTTTAAAAGATGGGGCAGAATTCAGTTCAGTGAAAACCACCCAAATATAAAAACTATAAATTGTAATGTTTTAAAACACTGTATGTAAACATGGGTTATGAAAAAGTCACTGCTTTGAAAACAAAAAATATGTGTGTTTGCTTATTGGGTTGATTTCACACAAGTGGTCATGCTGGAACTGAATTCTGAATACTTTCTAATATCGACCAAGGAAATTCTTTGTTCCAGGGCTTAACTGTTGGCTTTTAGAAAAAGGGATTTTTAGAAAAATGCTTTTACTTGTACACCTGGCACTGGAAAGGTGACAAGTAATGTTTATCAACCTATTTAACTAGGAATGATATCTTATATTTGTGATACTTTATAGCTCATAAAACACATGTAAATATTCTCCAGTGGGATTGCATTGCCTCATAGGATTTAGACCTGGGAGTGACCTTAGGTATCAACCCCTTCATTGTACTGAGAATGAAACTAAGCCCCAGGGAAATGAAGTGACTTTTTTTTTTAAAAAAAGATCATTACTGAAATCTTTTGTTTTTCCATCACCTGTATTTCTCCATCCCTCCTTCTCTCTATATAAAGAATTTTTAAAAAGAAAAAGAAAAAAATTAACAAAAGAGATCAATATCATGGGGGGAAAAATCTTACATTATATGCAGTATTTCATACCTGTGGATAGCTCCCACCCCCATCTCTGCAAAGAGTTGAGGGAGGTGTTTCCTTATGTTTTATCTTTGAATTTAAGTTTGTTCTGTGTAGTGTCACAGAATTCATTTTCGGTTGTGTTGTGGCAGCTGTTCTTTGTATTTAATTGTTGTAGTTGTCGGTTCATGTAAATCTTTCCATGTTTCTATATATTCATCATGTTCGTTTTTCCTTACACAACAGTAACATTCCATGATGGTCATGTATCACACTTTTGTTTAGCCTTTCCCCAGTAGATACTTGGTTTCCATTCTTTGCTACCACAAAAAGCATTGCTATAAATGTTTTGCGGGCATGAAGAGCCTTTTTTTCTGTCAGTGACCTCCTTTGGGTATATTCCTAGCATTGGAATCTCCCCTTCAGAAGCTATGGATGTTTTATTGTTTGTATAATTCCAGATTGCTTTCCAGAATCACAGCTCTCCCAAGTAATGGGTTAGTGTGCCTGAGTTTCTACAGTCCCTCCAGCATTGCCTAGTCCCATCTTTTTATCATCTTTGCCAATTTGCTGAGTGGGTGATGGCAGCTCAGAATTGTTTTGATTTACATTGCTCTTGTTAGTGATTTGGAGCATTCTTTGAAATGGTTAATAGTTTGCAATTCTTCTTTTGAGAACTGTTCATATCATTTGACTGCCTATGACTTGTATTGTTTAAATTTAAATTTAAAAAACCAATAATAACTCACATTTATAAATTTATAAACCTGGTTTATTTTATTTGATGCTCATTAAGGTGAATGTTGTTTACTATCCCAATTTTACAGATTAAAAAAAGGAGAGTCAGTGAATTAAGTGCATCATCCGCGATTATATGGCAAATAAGTGTCTGAGTCAGGATTCAAACTTGAGTCTTCCCAAATCTAAGTCTAGAACTATGCCCTACCAAGGTAGGGAACAACCTTGTCCCACAAAGTAAAGAAATTAGTTAAATTGCAAGCAGTCTTATTTTTTTTTAAACATTATTAAGAAAAAAGTTATATTGACCTTTACATTTAAGGAAGTTTTCATAAGTTCATCTGACATTTTTATAATATCAGCTAATACCCAGAGGTTTCAGGAAGGAGGATAGTCCACTACTTCATTGAGTTTAGCATTAAGTATCTTATTCAAGCCTAGGAAAAGGTTTTCCTGGAAAAAAACCAATGCCTTTTGCTGTCTGAGAATGAAAACCCATCCATCACAGGTCCCTCTTTAACAGATACCAAGGGATTCCAGAATCTTCAGTCAGCCTTTTAAATGCCATCTCTGTACACTACCACTTTGTGAGATAGGCAGAGCAGCTGTTGGGGTGTGTCCTAATGTTTTAAAGATAAAGAGCTTGGATAATATGATGTAACATGAGTCATTTTGGCAGTTTACATATTTGTTCAGTTATACCAAGGGTCAGTCACATCAAATAACTGACCAAATAAAGACTTTAGGTGAAAAATAGATTAACAAAAATGTGGTGATTGTTGTATATAATTGGATTGTACCTGATCTATTCCAGCATTAGCTCCATTTGAAAAGCTAGTAGCATCCTTTTTCCAGGAGATGTTCAGGAATTCCATGCCCCCCCTTTTAAAAAAAAAAAAAACAGCTAGATTTTCTCACGTTGAAACTAATGTGCTTTGTCATTAGTAATTTTCTGGAGTCGTTTGGTAGCGTTCGCTGAAGGTATACGTGGAAAGGAACATCCTGTCCTCACCGTGCTTTTTTATATCTCAAATTTAGTTTTTAAGAGTTCCACCCTGCACCATTATAGAGTGAGTGCTCAGAATGGTCCTTGTTAGTTCAGAGTTGTGATTGTTATTAGGTCAGAATCATGATGCTTGGATCAATAGAATAAAGATGATTTTGTAACATTTTGCTGAACCTGTTTGCAATAGTCAGCATTTGAGGATTGAGCAGTGGGTGTGTATCATTAGCCTCTCCTATAAGTTGTCATGCCATTCTGTAGTAAAGATACTCAGGTGAGTATACTTATTAGCCAGGGGTGAATGGATTAGAGAACCAGTAAGATAAGCCCCTGGTGATTGTTTCCCGGGGGTTTTTGTTGTTTTAATAATTGTTTGTTTATTTTTAAACTAGGATGGTGAAGAAACATTCAATCGTGCAAAGCTTCTGAATGTAGGCTTTCAAGAAGCCTTGAAGGAATATGACTATGACTGCTTTGTATTTAGTGATGTAGATCTGATACCTATGGATGACAGGAACACCTACAGGTGTTTCGAGCAGCCCCGGCACCTCTCTGTGTCAATGGATAAATTTGGATTTAGGTAAGATATCTTTCAGGTAAAAAGACTGAATTATATTCATTCATTTGTCTCCCATCTAATAGCATGTTTAAGAACGCCATTATGCTTATTACAATGATCAAGGATAGAGATGATGGGGTTGGAGTATTACCTCTTCTGTCAGACACAGTTGGTACTATCATTGATTGGACAATTTCCTGAAGTAGAGATTAAAATTATTTCTTTATTTACTAAAATGTATATCTTTAAAAGCAGGGCATTTAAAAACTATTTTTAAAAAGACTCAACACTTCCTTAAATCTAGTAGTAAACTACCATAGGTAAATCAAATAAGAAAGAAAATAAAAATCCTATATGAAATGCATCATACTGGTAAATTTCCCTCCAATCAATTATTATTAAAGGAGAATGAAGTCCAGACATGCCATCCATCCTCTAATGAACATGAAAAGATTTTTTTGTTGTTATTGCTGAAATGCTTTGTGGTGTTTGTAGTAATGATTTTATTTCATCGTTTTAAATGGGTTCCAGGTTTACTAATATGTTCTTGCTTCCTTCCTCCTCCATTATAAGCACACAGCAATTTAATGAGAATCCATTTTTAAGGTTTTCTGCAAATAATTTCCCCAGCTTGTCTTGCTCGTTGTTTGGTTGTTATTTTTTTTTAACAGTAAGTATGATTGTCGATATATTCCTTGAGACTTTTAAAAAAAATTCAGTCAGGTTTCGTAGCTAGAAGTAAAATAGCCTTATTAGATGATATTTTTTGAAATATAAAGTAGTTTGGTAGAAAAAACACTGAACTTGAAGACCCAGTTTTGATGCTTAAGATCATAAATTCATAGTTTTAGAACTGGAATAAACCCAAGAAGCCAGCCAGTTCAACTCTCACATTTTACAGATTGAGGCCAGAGATACTAAGTTTTAAATCTGTGATCATAGACTTGGCACTTCACTTCTGAGCTCCAGTTTCCTTACCTGTAAAATAGTGATGATACTTGGCAAAGCTTTTCATTGTGAAGGAAACATTCAGGTATTTGGAAACACTTTTGAAATGACTTCCTGTATGGGAAAGTATTAAATGTGCTTTTGAACAAAGGTTTCATTTAGTGAAATTCTATTTTAGGTATGTGTTTTTTTTTTCTCTTTAGTTTTCATGCTTTAAATTTCTTCCTCTCTGTCTCTCTCTCTCTCTCTGTCTCTGTCTCTCTCTCTGTCTCTCTCCTCTCTCTCTCTCTCTCTCTCTCTCTCTCTCTCTCTCTCTCTCTCTCTCTCTCTCTCTCTCTTCTCTCTCTCTCTTTCTCTCTCTCTTTTCTCTGCAGTGAAGCTATCTTTCTACCCAGCCAGGACTTTGTATCCAAAAGAATCATGTAGCCACAGGCCTTGAAGGTGTCCTGAAAAGGTCTTCTAAAATACCATCCCTTGGTTTGAGAGGATAAATTCTTAGAAGATCTAAAGATATCTCAGTCAGATGGGTGTTTTCTAAAAGATCTGAGATAAAAGGAGCTTAGCCTATCCAACAAAGATATATATTCAAAAATTTTTGCAGAAGCCAATTAGTTTACTGGGTAGAGGATTGGCTCTGCAGTGAGACAAGGTTCAAATCCCACCTCTGATTGTTGTGTGACCTTGCAGTTAGTTATTTAACCCTCAGTGCCCTCCAGGCATTTCACTAATAATTTTAAGTTGCATTGGTAGAAGTTTAGATGTTCCTCTCTGGAATTCCTTGCACCAGTGAAATCACAGGTTGTGTCTTCTCTTCCTACCCCTAAGTATTTTTTCATTTTCTATAAGGTTTCTTTTGGGAGGAGGGTGTTAGCCCTGAATCTCCCTCCCAACCCCCTCATCCTCATTTAAGAGACTTTGAGAAGTAATCCTAGATCCATTGGAGTGGACCTCATAGACAATAACTTCGTACTTCTAGAATAAACTAAGAAAACGGAAATCTGGAGAGATAGATAGATCCTCTGAACCTTGGAGTGAGGGAAGAGTGGGTTTATGTCCCACCTCAACCACTAACTCTTGACAAAACCTTTCATTAAGTTTCTTCAAAAGTTACCTTTTCTAAAGATAAAAGTATTCCAATTTGACATCCTTACAGGTGGTAGGGTCTGATATCACAGGTAGTATCTTAAAATTTTATTGACTTAAGACATCTGTGTTGAATTAGATTGTTTACAAAATCTGTGGGGAAATGAGTGTTAAGGTATATGTATCACTGATCACCTGAAGTCTCTTGCAGAGATATAAAGTCAGTTGTACTAATGCTCTATTTACTTCTTTCCCCCTTCTAGCTTACCTTATAACCAGTATTTTGGAGGTGTCTCTGCTTTAAGTAAAGAACAATTCCTCAAAATAAATGGATTTCCTAATAACTATTGGGGTTGGGGAGGTGAAGATGATGATATTTATAACAGGTAAATATTTGTTAAAATTCTATGTCTAAATAACCATGAAAAAATTTCTGCCACCCTTAGAAAGTGCATTTCTCCCTTCATTTGGTTATTTCCAAATTTTGGCTGTCCAGTGCTGGGTCACCCTAAAAGAACTTAATTATTATACTATTAATTATTGCAAATTTAAAACAGAAACAATCAATTAAGCATACAAAAGCAAGGGGCAAAATCTTACCTAAATTCCATAGACTTTAATGAAGCAGAACCAAGAAGAGCTAATAAATAATAAACAAAAAAAAAATACTTCTCATACTTCCTCTACTTCTAGACTCATCAGAAACTCAACCATCTTTAGCCCCATTTTCCTTTTTTCTAATTTTCTTTGACAAAAAATGATAGTTGTTTGTATACAGTGTGATTTTACTTTTCATCACCTTCATCTTTCCATATTTCTTCATATGTCTCCCATTCATCATTTTTATGACATCATGAGATTCCATTCTTTTAACAGACCATAATTTATTCAGCTATCCTCCAATTTTTAGACACACAGGTTTTTCCAATTTTTTAATTATGGAAAACAAAGCAACTATAAATATTTCTATTCAAGTAGGTCCCTTTACCCTTTTAATCCTATTTTTGAATAGAGTCCTGGTAATGAAATTCTTAGATCAAAAGGCATGATTAGTTTTGTGATATTATTGGGTATTATAATACTGCTTTCTAAAACATTTGCTTCAGTCTCTAGTTCCACTAACAAGGTGGTAGAGTTTCTATTTCCCCACACTGAATTCTACTGGCTTTAGACAGTTTTGTCATTCTAGTTTATTTAAGGTGATATCCTAAAGATTTTTTTTGAAGGAACTGAAAATTTATAATTCAATCTTATACAGTTTAATAAAAAAAAACTCATCAGTTATGTGCTAATGAAAATTACCTTTGTCTGTAAAATCCAAATCTATTTTGATAGCAATTTCCAAAATGTTAAATAGTGGGTATTTTGAATGGGCTTAAAAAACATCACTCAGATGGTAAAAAGCTCATCAAAAACATCTATTGAAATATGTGTTTTAAATATACACACAAAAACACACATGTAATTTAGATTTAACTTGTCATCCTCAGTCATACGGTGAATTACAGCAGGCACAAGAGTGCATCTGTCTATCTGTGTATAATAAGGTCCAAATTTTTTGAATGCCAAGACATTCAAGGTCCCCTGTGGTTTGCCTCTTCACCTACATTGCTGACCTTATCTCATAGTGCGCCCCCTCATATGTTTTATTGTCCCAGCCACATTGGAATCTTTGACATATCTTATGTGTATATCCTCTTTTTTCCCTTTTCTTTAATTTTGCTGACACTCTTCCCTATGGCTAGAATGATCATCCTCATGGTCCCAACACCTGCCTGTTGGTTCCTACCCATCTTTCAAGATACAATACCATCCCTTTCATGAATTAATCCTTTCCTGATCCTTCCAACTAAAAATAATCTCTCCCTCTTGTGAATTCTCATAGCACTTTATAATTCTCTTAGGTACATAGAACATTTTGTTTTGCAATGTAGGTTTTTGTTTGCCTTTCTTATCTCTCCTCCTAGGCTGTAAGCCCCTTGAGGGCAGGGTAGTACCTTATTTATTTTTGTGTCTCCTACAGCATATAGTACAGTGCTCTGTGTGCATAATAGATGCCAAATAAATATCCCTTGAATGAATCGTTGAATTACCACGAGTAAGCGCTAGATATGTTGTAGCTTTGTAGAGTTACAATAGAAAAAGGAAGAATTAATGAAAACGAGAGTTTATATATGACTTAACTTTTGTCCATCATAGAGTCACAGTGCTTCACAAGTTAAAGGGAAAACTTATTTTTAAAATAAAAACGGTATTTCATCTCAAGGTGTGAAGTGCCCCTTGGCAAGGGGAGAAAAGAGTTTTCACTGGTCACACTAAGTTTAATCATCTTCCTGTTTGATGAATTAATGTAGCGATAAAATATTGAACTGCAATTAACGTAGTTGTTGGATCACTTATTTAATACTGTCCAAGAAAAGGAGTGCTTAGCAGATCGTTGTACCGTGCTAACCAGTATTTAAGAAATATTGTAAATTACACTTATTTATGACTGTCCTCTTTTTTTTAACTCTTACAGATTAATTTATAAAGGCATGTCTATATCACGCCCAAATGCTATCATTGGAAAATGTCGGATGATCCGCCATTCAAGAGACCAAAAAAATGAGCCCAATCCACAAAGGTGTGTTCTTAGTTTTCAGTTCCTTTCTCTAGGTGATTTAAAGTGATGACGTTTAGGCATCCAAGCACTGGTTATTTGGGAAAGGAGTGGGAGGAGTACTAGAATAGTAGCCCAGGTTCAAACCAGTAGACACCTTGATAGCCTGCTTAGTTCATGACATGAGGTTACTCTCTCCTTCCATATTTTTGTTTCAGTCTGTCCTGGGAACTGAGAAGAATGTCTCTCCTCTCTAGTTGTCGCTAGATTAATTCAAGCACCACCTCCCGGAGGTCATTCAAGGCACAGGGAAATATGGGAAGGGAAACAGGAAGGAGCAGTTTGATAACTCTTCTATGGAGTTGGATTTTGACACCATTGTTTGTTTTTCTGTTTACAGATTTGACAGAATTGCACACACTAGGCAGACCATGAACTCTGATGGTTTGAACTCACTTAAATACCAACTTATGGAAATTCAGAAATACCCTCTGTATACCAAAATCACAGTGGATATTGGGTCACCAAGTTAGCATCTCAGTGAGCTCAATAAAAGACAACAGTCAAGGACTCATGTTGACTTTCTTTGTAAACTTGCTGGAATTTTTTCCATTTTTGCCTTCTGTTTTACTACAATCAGAATGAACAGGAATGCCTCGTGTAATTATTCAAAAACTTTTCCAAATCACTAGGACGAGTGGGACTTCTTGCCCCCAACTTGACTCAGCACACGACTTTTCTAGCTGTAAGTTTTAGAGACTGTATATAAGTATTGTTGGTTATTTATACCCTTGTTGGAGACTATCTGATTATGGTTCTTAACAGGTTACCCTGCAAAAGTTGACAATTGTGAACAGCTAAAAATCACTGCGTTCTAGCTTCAGTGATTGGTGGTTAATTCCCAAGGATCAATCTGCCAAATTTTCATGTAATATAGAAGAATTTTGCTTTAAATTTGTTGTAATATTTAATTTTATGAAGGACTGGAAAATGCTGCTAAAATTGGTTTACAAGTTTACACTTTGGGAAATCAGTTGCCAGGTCCCAACCAGCTAGTAAGGGCTATGGCCCTTTAAGAACCAAAGGAGGTATTAGAAAAAGTCCTCGTGGGGCTGCTGAAAAGCCCTCCCCTTTTGCAGTTCCTACTTTAGTCTTTAGTTGGCATCATCTGTAGTTCTCCTATGTCATTCAACAGCCTGACCTGACTCTAACCTCTACCTTCCTCATTACTGACTCTTCCTCATCCTCATTCCTTTCCTATTTTCCTTCCTTTGCTGCTGGGATCTTAGGTCTCTTGCTTCCAAATTGTGCCTTGACTGAATCTGCTTGGCTGGCCTTGTCAGATTAGTCCCTTGTACCTTCTCCCAATATAGGTGGATTCATTAGTACTTGACTTGAACATTGCTCTTTTTCTTCCTCGTGCCACAAGTAAGCCTGGTTGACTCAATGGTTCCAAATGGATCTTTCTTGCCTTCTTCTGGCACTGGCACCAGTGAAACCTGTCTGTTCCAGAGCTCCGACATGGTTTATTGTAGACATAGACTGGTCACATTGCTTACTGGTATAGAGGCTCTCACAGTTCCTTTCGTGCATTACAGGCCTAAAAATGGGAGAATTCTAGCTGTTAGGGGTCTGATTTGAGGACAAATTTGCCCTTCAGTCTTGGCCAAAGAGTCTTGTGATTTTCTGATTCCAGGTTCAGATGCCCACCCAGTCTGCATCTCCCCATCAGCCCACTAGCTTCCTGTACCAATATTCTCCTTGAAAGATTGAACAGGAAAACTGAGGAACTTTCCAGTTTTTCAGAGCTTTACTGTAGCTCTTCATGCACCTCTTAACACATAAACTTTTCCATAGACTATCTCTAAATGGGATTCTCTTCAATTGCCTCATTCATCTACCATCACTAGATAGTTGTTTTCTGCCTACAGTCATACTGTGTTCTTCCTGCCTATCTCTGAATCCATTCAGTTTCTTCATCAATGAGGGTGGTCCACAGTTGGACCAACCCAGAGACTTATCCACGGGAAGAGGTGATTGCCAATCCACCATCCAGCAGCTACAGGAAGAGCAAAGCCCTTTTGTTGTTAAGCTAACATCTAAATTGGAATTGAAATTAAACTGCTCTAGCTGGCCCGTGACCCAGAAAACCTGGTTGACCCCACTCAGCATGCTCAGGTACAGCTGGCCTGTATCCGTCATACCTCATTGATCAGTGTTTCTAACGAGAGAGGCAATTCAACTCTTACCTAGATTTTCTTCAACCGACCAACGGTTTACACCAGAGCCTCCTGTTCTTTCCTACTTTGCTGTCTCCTTCCTTAGTATAAAAAGTCTGCATTAAGTAGAGTCCATTCTTAGAGAATAGATCTAGAGCCTAAAGGAAGACCTCCTTGCTTGTTTTGTGAGGCAGAGTGTCCATTGTTCTATGAACAGCCCTATCCAAGTACAAGAGGAAACCTCAAAGGAAGGAACACATTCTTAGGTAGAGTCCAGTGGAGCCTCTTCTCAGGTCCTGTCCTTTTCCCACTGAATACCCTCTTCAGATTCAGCTACCTGACAAAAAGAGGTTCTTAACCCAAGCCTTTGGTTTGCCTAAACTCTAAACCAGCAAGGGCAGCTTCTTTATTGGTCCCAGATCCATCTCCTTGTAAGAGAAGCCCCTCATACATGGCCTTTAATACCTAGGACAATTTCTCAGGAAACACAAACTCTTCAACTTCATCTTAGGGTTTACTGAGGAATCCAGATAGTCAGCGTCACCTGGAGACCATCCTGTGCTAGGAATTCATCTGTTTAGGACACTTACTGGGCTCTATGGTTGTGTTCATGGGGGAAATGATGTCATAGTCCTTCCTAACCAAGCCTGTAAATGCCATTGTGGTATGAGATAAATGCCCTCTTCTCTAGTTCCATACTTGCTTGTCTAGCTCAGACATGCCTGAGTTTTTCAAAACTAAGACTGTGGAAGACCTCCAAACCAATTGTCTCTAAGGAAGGAAAAGATGCTGAAAACAACCTTACAGATGAATTCGATTTGACCATAAAATGCCTGGTCAAACCGCGTATGGCCTTTGCAGGGTCTCTAGCATCCCAGCCAGTTGATTAACTTTATTTTCTTAAATGTTATTAGACTTACAGAGATCATTATCTTATCTGGATAACATTGAAACTTATTTCCAGGATCCAGTCCATCAAGCACACTCTTTCATCTGAACTGTTTGTTCTTATTTTTTTCTATTTTTAAAAAATTTATTTTAATTTCTTTCCATAAGCTTTTGAGTTTTAAATTTTTCTCTCCCTCCGGATTCCCCACCTCCCTTCTCAAGATGGCATGCAATCTGATATGGGCTATACATATACATTCGTCTAGTCTTATTCTTTTGCAAAATATGAGTTTTTTGCTTTTTTAAATTTTAATTTCAAAAATGTGGTTTTGATAGCGAAGGACTTTTGTCATGGAATCTTACCTGAAGGTCATGTTGGTTTCTTCAAAACTATCCATCTGGTCAAGCGGGACTTCCAGTGGCCATAAGCCTGCTGTGACATCAACACAGAATGCTAGAATGTGAGAGTTGGAAGGGACCTCATACATAGCTAAATTCATCCATGAGAGCACTGGTCCTGGAGTCAGGAGGACCTGATCAGGTTCAAATGTGGCCCCAGACACTTGCTAGCTGTGTGATCCTGGGCAAGTCACTTAACCTCACTTGCTCCCCCCCAAAAAAAAAAGCAAGCAATTAAAAAAAAAACCCAACTCATTCTTGGAAGGAATCCTCACTATGCAGAACAAATGGTCACTTAGCCTCACCTTGAAGACCTCCAAGGAGGGGCAGCCTACCCCCTCTCAAGGCATCCTGCTTATTCTACTTTTAGACTACTCTCGTTGTCTGGAAGCTTTTCCTGATATGAAGCCTCAGTTTGCCTAGGCAGCTTCTACCCATTGCTGCTAGTTCCATCTTCTGGGACCAATCTAATCCCCTTTCCGCAGGATAATCTTTCATAGGCTTGAAGTCAGCTGCTGTGTCACCCCAAGCCTTCTCCAGTTCAACACGCCCAGTTCTTCCAACGGGACTTCCTGTGACATGCCCTCGAGACCCTTCACCAGACTTCCTCTGGGCACTCCCTCTGATTTATCAGTGTTGTTCTTGAACTGAAACACAAGACTCCAGATAAGATCCAGTGAGGGCAAAGTACGGTGGAACTATACTTTCCTGTCCCTGGAAGTTTATGCTCGTCTTAATGCAGCCCACGAGGGCTGTTTTTGAAATGCTGTTCTCACTCTGCTGACTCGTTAAGCTTGGAATTCAGTAAGACCTTACATCTTTTTCAGAATAGCTGCTGTCTATACCCAGGCCTGTCCCACCTTGTACTTTTGAAATTGTTTTTTAAAAAAATCCAAATACACTTGGATTCTTCATATTTATCACTATTGAATTTCATCTTATTCAATTTGCCAAAGATTAAACTAGGAAACTCAACAGGGTCCTATAGCTCTCCTTGCTTTCAAGCCTTCTTTACTTTTTTTTTTGTGAGGCAGCTGGGGTTAAATGACTTGCCTAGAGTCACACAGCTAGTAAGTATCAAGTGATCAAGTCTATGAGGCCGGATTTGAACTCAGGTCCTCCTGACTCCAGAGCCAGGGCTCTATCTACTGTGCCACCTAGCTGCCCCAAACCTCCTGTACTTTTCCTTCAGTCCATAGGTTATAGCATCCCTGGGTCTTATGGTGAATCTTTTTTTAAAAAATTAATCTTTAGGGCTATGGTGTCATCATTGTAGTGTTAGACACCCTTTCAAAAATAGCCTGATTTCATACCTGCTCCACCCTTTATCTACTTTCTCCATAGCTCGATTTTCCTTAGCAATATCTTTTGGCTAAGTGGTCTCCCTACACGTCTCATCTGACGGCAGCCCTTAGTTCATCTCATCTTTCAATACCCCGTCCACAGCTTTGCCCGCAAAAAATATACTTGTCCTTTGCTCACTATAATCAAGGAGTGGTGAATAGATTATGCCATTTGGACATTGTAATACTACTTGGACAATTATACCTCCTCCTGTCACCAGGACAGGTGGTGGGTGTGTCTTCCCCAGGATTGACTTTTTTTTTAAACTTCATAATCACTATTGATGTCCTCAGAACACCTCATTCCACTCCAAGTAAGACTTTAACCTGTCTTCCACAGTTTCTCTCTGCCTTTTCCCCATAATATATAATTACTTGAGGGAACTAGATGCTATTCAGACTAACTGTCAGACCACCTTTTAGTAGACCAAGATAGGCTATAAATAGCATGTAAATTATGAAGGGCCCTTGCAAGTAGAGGGCCAGGCATAGCTCAGTACCCATAACCTGTATTCAGTGTGTCCTTCCCCAAAACACTGAACCATCCTCCATAGTCTGGATCACAAAGCAGTTGGGCTTTCTCTTCTAGCTCCACCCTTCTCCTACCATTCTTCCACTTTCCATTACTATCTCATCTACATCCCTACTCCTGTGGATTTTAGGGAAAAGCAAAGTTTGTGATGTAGACCGTCCTTGATTCATAACCAATATGGCAGCTAACACTACATACTGGGTGGAGAGAACTGAGAGCCAACTGCATAATGGGATACTCTTGACTACTGAAGGCAAAGACGGTCTTAACAGGGCTCCCCTGCCAAGCTCAAGTCATAGGGGGTCAAGTATAAGAAGGACCCAAGATCCTTTAAGAACCAAAGAAGTAAAATCTGCCAGACTCATTAAAAGGTGCTCCATTCTGCTGATTGCTGTATGTCTATAATTTGCCTCTACCAGCTGTCTTGACCCTTTCTTGTCCATCCCCTTTCTTCAGCTCTGACCTCTGGCCTCTTCCTTTTCCTATTCTCTATCTTACTCCCTTCTGGCATTATTTTAGCCAGTGTTCCTTTTATCTACATTGCCTATTCCCATTTGTAAGTACTATCCTGCTTGTGAACAGAACCCATTCTCCTCTGCCCCATTGGCTTTCTTGAGCTACTCTCCTGCTCCCTCAGCAACTCTCTTGGATCCCCTGTTCTTGACCTTTGTATTTCCTCTGTGCTAAGGGCAGTGGGCTTCTTATTCTCTGCCATCCTCTGATTGTATCAGAAAAGCCTGTGTACCTCCCATCTACTCATCTCTAGTTAGACATATCTGTACCAGAGCTGTTCCCCCAGGTGATGCTATGAATTTTTTCTTGGACTGCATTGCAGATGATGTATTTTCTTTCACATATTATAACAAATACCAAAATTTTACAGAGAATGAGTGCAATTTAAATGCCCTGTTCAGTTTGCTTTTCAAGTACTATTTGTTTAAAGTTTAACTCAACTATAGCAATTATTGTAGTATTAGATATTTTTTGTCTCCCCCAAATTTTAATTCTGAGGGATTTTAGCCCTCAGAGCAGATGCTGGTTGCTAGATTGTTTAGTGCTCAGTCTCTAAATTGCCTTATTTCTTTAAGGACCGACAAATATGTTTTAATAGCAGTTTGTATTGTTTAAAATGAACAAATCAGGTTGTAATTGTGGGATAAAGTGATCTGTTTTGATTCAGGTTTTACACAGTTGTTTAGTATTCTCTAGGTTTTGAAGAAGACTCTCTCTTCTGGTAGCGTGACATAAACTTGAATTTTCCTATATACACTTTAATTGTAATGTTTTAAATGTCATTGAGGTTAAGAGTTGTTGGGGCAAAAATATGTGTATGCTGTATTCAGTATTAATGCCTTTTCACTTTACTGAGAGAAAAGAGAACTTAAAAGTCTTTCACATGAGGCTGTGGATTGTCTCGTTTGTTATACCCACATGTTGGTTTGCCAGGCATACTGGAGAGTCTTCTGCCTTCCCTTTGGTAGGACAGATCTCTAGTGCCAAAGGGACCACCTGCTTAACCTCTGAGACAGGGACTTCCCTTTTCAGAGTAGGACATAGAACAGTCCAAAAATTGCCTTATGGTTAGACAGCATTTTTTTTTTCTTTGGGAAATCACTTCTTAATTACAAAGTGAAAGCTTACCTGGACAGACACTGGCCTGAGATAGCGTGCAAGCCAAGCTGAGTGGAGTGCCCTGTTTCATTATAGATGTGGATGGTAATACTGTTTTCAGTATATATATTCCCAGATTTTTTTACAGCCCTTGAGGACTCTTAGGGTCTATCTTGTCTGGGAATAAGCTCATGGCACTGGAATACCAAGTATCAACCAAGGCAGTGTCTGTGTCAGCCCCTACCAAACCAATCCGTTTTTTTCTTCTTGTTTCTCAAACTCTTCTCCCTCCAACTCCTCTCTTCCCTTGTCATTTTACTTTCTGCCATGTTTCCCCCATGCATTCAGTTTTTCCTTCCCGCCACCTTCC